CGAACGTAGAGCTGCAACCACGGCTTCAAGCAGCTGGCTCTTGGAAAGCCGACTACCAGATGCGGGATCCTTTTGCTGCACGCCGAGGCCAGCTGCGAAGGCACGAAGCTTGTCCAGCTTCATCGAGCCATCCAGCTCAGCATGGAGCCAGTCTTGACCATGTACTGCTGCTTCAGCCCGTAAATGCTCAGCATCAGGAAGAGCATCCAAGGGATTCGCAGCCTGCTGCGCGCGCTGAAAGACACACGGTGGAAACCAACAGCGCAAGCCAAAAGTGGTAATTCCAAGAAACCAAGAGGGGTATGCGAAACAATCGTGCGCTCTCGCATGCCAACGTCCAGCCTGCGCACGTCGCTGGCAACCAGAATCCGACATGGCAACACGACACGTCGGAAATACCCGCCAGCGCCGCGCGACTCTGATATCTTCTGGCCACCCGCTGTGTGTAACTGCTTTGACAAGATTGGTGCGCCAAGGAAACGAATCCGCACTTCGGAAGATGCGATCTGAGCGATGACACCTTCTACAGTACTAACACGGAGGACTGCCTTGAGCATGAATGCACGTGCAAGCAGCAATGACAACCTCATGGAGCACCCCTCCAAAAAATGAAGCATAACACCAACACAAAGAAGCCGTGTCGCCCTAATCAACTGTCGCCGCAAACATTCTCTGGGCAAGCTCCGCTACTGAGACACTCATGACATCCAAGCTTCGGCTACTATTGCTCTTGTCAGCTGCCTATCACTCCAAAATCCAACTGCGCATGTTTATTTTACAAGCCAATTACAAAAGCCAACTGCCCAATCTCACTTCACAAGCCAATGACAACTGCCAACTGCCCAATCTCACTTCACAAGCGAAATGCACTGTCCCAAAACACAAGCCAAATTTTCGAGTGTTACGTCACTATCCTAAAGCGCAAGCTAACTTCTCGGGCGTTTCTTCGGCATCGTAAAGCGCAAGTATTCGTTTTCAGGCGTTACATTGCAAGCCGACTTTTCCTTTTCTACCTTCTCTTCTCGATTCTGAGTTCTTTCTTCTTTTTCCGGCGGAGCTGGGGAGACGCTCTCCGCGCCGAGATAGGTCCGCAAGTGCTTTGTGCAAGTGCTCTGTGCAAGTTGCTCTGCGCAAGTTGCTCTGCGCAAGTTGCTCTGAGCAAGTGCTGCCGGAGCTGTGGGAATGTACTTCGCGTACTATTTTTTTGTACTTAAAAGTTGTGATTTTCCAGCCGGAGCTGCGGGAGTGTGCTCCGCGTACTACGTTTGTACTTAAAAGTTGCGATTTTCCAGCCGGAGCTGCGGGAATGTGCTCCGCGTACTATGTTTGTACTTAAAAGTTGCGATTTTCCAGCCGGAGCTGCGGGAGCACGCTCCGCATACTACGTCTGTACTTAAAAGTTGCGATTTGCCAGCCGGAGCTGCAGGAGCACGCTCCGCGTACTACGTCTGTACTTAAAAGTTGCGATTTGCCAGCCGGAGCTGCAGGAGCACGCTCCGCGTACTACGTTTGTACTTAAAAGCTGCGATTTTCAAGCCGGAGCTGCCGCGGACCCGGGGGGAATCGAACCCGAGACCGCGGGATTGCGAAAGCAGGCGCGCAAACCACGAGACAACTTCCAAAGGCCGTTTCGCGAGCAAGAAAATCGCACGGCGCCACAGCGAGAGCGCTTCGACACGCACGATCTCCGCAGAGGGTTCATCGGGCTCAAGACAAATTCGCACGGCGCCACAGCGAGAGCGCTTCGACACGCAGGATCTCCGCAGAGGGTTCGCCAAGGTCAAGACAAATTCGCACGGCGCCACAGCGAGAGCGCTTCGACACGCACGATCTCCGCAGAGGGTTCGCCAAGGTCAAGACAAATTCGCACGGCGCCACAGCGAGAGCGCTTCGACACGCAGGATCTCCGCAGAGGGTTCGCCAAGGTCAAGACAAATTCGCACGGCGCCACAGCGAGAGCGCTTCGACACGCAGGATCTCCGCAGAGGGTTCGACACGCACGAGCAGAGGTTCAAGACAAATTCGCACGGCGCCACAGCGAGAGCGCTTCGACACGCACGATCTCCGCAGAGGGTTCGCCAAGGTCAAGACAAATTCGCACGGCGCCACAGCGAGAGCGCTTCGACACGCACGATCTCCGCAGAGGGGTGCGTTTCGTAAGCTCCCGTCGGGCCTACCCCCGCCATAAAAAGAAGAAGAATTAAGAGTCGAGAAGTGAAGGTAGAACAGAAAAGTTAGCTTGTGTTTTTAGGATAGTGAAGTAACACCCGACAAATTAGCTTGTGCTTTTAGTAGAATGAGATAACAGCCGAAAAGTTGACATGAGAAGTAGGCAGGTGAAGTAACTCTCGACAAGTTGGCATGAGAAGTTAGCAGGTGAAGTAACTCTCGACAAGTTGGCATGAGAAGTTGGCAGGTGAAGTAACTCTCGACAAGTTGGCATGAGAAGTTGGCAGGTGAAGTAACTCTCGACAAGTTGGCATGAGAAGTTGGCAGGTGAAGTTGGCAGCCGCTTTTAGAAGAAGAACCCTTCACAATGCTTCCGGGAAAAACACACACACACACACCAATAACACACTGAAATAACCATAATGCCTAAAACCACTATCAGACTTTCATGCCATGCCATCTGGAAGGAATTATCTGTCCCAATCTTGAGGCATGCCGCATACCCATATTTCTGCAGCCCATGCAAAACTCACACAAACAAACGCAAACACAGACAAAACACACAACCAAACAAACCACACAGAGACACATAAACACGCAACCATGCGCACACACACACACACAAGCGGCTGGGTGGCTGGGTGGCTGGGTGGCTGGGTGGCTGGGTGTCTGGGTGTCTGTGGGTTTTCATCTTTCCCCAGGTCTCGTCCTGCTGCTGCGTTTTGCTGGCGTCTCGCACCCTTTTCCTGTTCTCGCCCCTTTCGTCGCAGTTTGTCCTTGGTATCTCGATTCGCCCTTCGAACAAAGCAAAACGTGCTCCTGTCCTGCTTGCTTGTGAGTTGCAGCATTGCATCTTTACCGACTTGGGCTGGGCCTATGCTTGGTGGACAGCAATAAGCGCAGCCCCCGCACGTAGCAACGCACATGCGCTTTGGAAAAAGATAAGCCAGAAAACATTGTTTTCCAATTGTTTGAGGGGAACGTTTAGAACAGCACCGCCCACAACTAAGCTTTTTCATCCACACGCCCGAAAGCTGTGCCCCCAGTCAGAACATGTTATGCGAGCCATTTGCACTTTGTGCAAGATGTTCTGCGCAAGTCACTGTGAGCAAACCGTCTGGCAGTTTGGTTCAAGGCAGGATCAGCAGATACAAGTGTCTATTCCCTGGCGAATTTTGTTCGCGCATCCCAACAAAGTAGATAAACGCAGTAGATCTGAGCCACGCCAAAGAATGATGGCGCGCAAAAACACTGGAAGGGTTGTCAATTCTCAAGAGCTAACACTAAACAACGCACAAAAAGCGCGAGCTTTACACGGCGACATAGCCTTGTTGATTGTCTGTGTGTGCAGTTGTTTATGTATGTGCAAGCGTGGGTGGCGTGTTTCTGTGTGAGTGTGCATTTGTTTGCGTGCGTGCGTGCGTGCGTGCGTGTGGGCTTGTACTCGCGTGTGTGCGTGCGCGCATGTGCGTGTGCGCATGTGTGTGCGTGCGTGTGTGCGTGTGTTCATGTGCGTGTGTTTCTTTGTGTGTGTGTTTGCTTGTGTGTGTGTATGTGTGTTTGTGTTTTTGTGTTTGTGTTTTTGTGTGTGTTTTGTGTTTGTGCACGTTCTTGCGTGTCTGCGCGTGTAAGCGTGTAAGAATGCGAGCGTGGGCGTGCAAGCGTGTCCATGCAAGGGAGCGCGTGCGCGTGCGCTCGAATGCTTTCCCGCGGGTGTGTGTGTGTGTCTGTGTGTGTGTGGGTGTGCGTTTGTGTGTGCGTGCGCATGCGCGTGTGCGCGCGCGTGTGCGTGTGCTTGCGCGTGTGTGTTTGTGTGCGTGTGTGTCAATGCGTGTGTGCGTGTGCGTGTGTGTCTATGCGTGCTTGCGTTCGCGTTCGCGTTCGCGTGTGCGTTCGCGTTCGCGCGCGCGCACGCGCGCGTGTGGCGTGCGCGCGCGCGCGGGTGTGTGTGTGTGTGTGGGTGCGTGCATGCGTGCGTGCGTGCGTGCGTGCGTGCGTGTGTGTGTGTGGGGGTGTGCGTGTGCGTGTGCGCGCGCGTGCGCGCGTGTGGGCGAGTGCGTGTGTGCGCGTGCGCTTGTGCGCGCTTGTGCGCGTGTGTGTTTGTACGCGTGTGTCACGTGTGCGCGTGTGCGCTTGTACGCGTGTGTGTGCGTGCGAGCGTGTTTTTTTGGGTTGTTTTTATGTGTGAGTGTGTGTGTGTGGGTGTGTGCGAGTGCGTGTGCGTGTGCTCGCGTGTGCTGTGTGTGTGTGTGTGTGCGTTTCTTTGTGTGTGTGTGTGTCTGTCTGTCTGTCTGCCTGCCTGCCTGCCTGCCTGTCTGTCTGTCTGTGTGTGTGTGCGTGCGTGCGTGCGTGCGTGCGTGGGTGGGTGTGTGTGTGTGTGTGTGTGTGTGTGTGTGTGTGTGTTTGTGTACTTGTGTTTGTGTGGTTGTGCGTGTGTGGGGGTGCGTGTGTGTGTGTGCGTGTGTGTGCTCGTGCGTGCGTGTTTGTGCGCGTGTTTCTTTGCGTGAGCGTGCGCGTGTGGCGCGGTTGTGGCGTGGGTGTGGGTATATTTGCGTGTGTGTGTGTGTGTGTGCGAGTCGACGCATTTCAGGGATTTGAAACTGCAGGGCTTTAGCAGCCCCTATATGGGGTTGTTCAAAGTTGGAGATCCTAAATCCTAATCCGTAGTGTGGAGTGGGACACTACTATGAAGATTAAGGATTGACTTTGAACACCTATATAAGCTGTCATTTGGCCGGATGTGTCAAAATACGGAGGACCCCAAAACTGGTGGCTTCCCCCCTTCTGAAAAGGGTGCCCCCAAATGTACACACCGTTCACCAGGACCTGGCCTGAAAGCTCATGAGGCGCGCGGCACCAGCAGCTTTTGACGCCGGCTCTTGCTGACGGCGGCTGTTTCTCGTCCAAACATTTGGGAGCTCCCTTTTTAGACGTTGCTTAAAGAGGGCAACTCCTTTCACTACTGTGCTACTTTTAGACATTATCTTTGTACACGAACTCTTTTGATTGGCATGGTACTGTTCGACCCCTCGATGGTGTTTGTGTTCAAAGACGTTCGGTTGAATTTGGAAGATCCAAGAGGACTGAAACTGAAACACAACGAAGCAAACCACTTGAGCCAAGGCAGGCCTGCGATGCATATACGCCCAACCCATCCAAAACAGGGCCCATTTGGGTGTCTTAAAATAGGGGGGCCCCAAAAAAGTGGTACACCTTTTCGAGTCCCTTCAAAACCACCCCAAGCCTCAAAAGAACAAATCCATGTGGCTTCTTCTCAAATTACGCCAAGCAAAAGGCAAATGGCACAGTTCCCTTCACCAAGCCCGCCTAAGTTCATGCACCTGCGAGAGACATGCATGTGTCGAAGATCACATGGGGGTTGTCCTATATTCCTTTGCCCGGGATTGGGCCCTTGGGCCGCACTTGCGCGGCACTTGCGCGGACTTGGTGGCGCAGAAGCTCGTTTTCGTTGACCTCGGTTTGCGAAGTTTTCGTGTGGATTGCGCGCAAGCTTTTCTAAGCAGTGTGTTCATCGTTCACACAGCAACCCACAAAGACTCTTCCCGCTGAGGTCGGTCCCGGTAATTCTAGGCCAGCAACATACCCTTGACCCATCAGAAAGGACAGCAGGCTCTGCCACACAGCTTGGACACAGCCTGAAAGAAGGAAAGTGCATGTTGCGGCTGCCTATCCATTGCTTGAACCGCGCCGCTAAGGACATCCGCGACAGAATGGCTAGATGTCTTGCTGGGGCTTCTCGTGCTTGCGCGCAACTTGCGCGCGGCTTGCGCGGATTTTGTCGTGTCAGCTGCCAGTTGCTGATTGTTGAAGTCATGACCGCAGAAGCTTTGGCTTCGTTTGGCGTCTGACTGAAGAAAACGCCGCACCTTTGCAAACAAGCTTGTGACCTACACATGACCCAAGCAACATTTGAAAAGCATAAGTACAGCAAGAAGATATCACCTCCTTTCATGAAGCTAGGCAACATCAGTACCTGAAACCCTTCAAAACTGAAGCCTTGGGCGTCCCTTGGGCCGCACTTGCGCGCTCCTTGCGCGCACACAGCTTTTGACAACTTTTACTTCTCCCCGTTCGGCGATAATTAAAACCGAAGACTGGGGTTTTAGGACGGCCCTCACATGAACAAGAACCAAACATCATATCTATGAGCAAAACCAACAGAACAGCTGTCTCATGCGGGTGTCTTTGAGGGAATCATCTTCTGAGTTGTTAAAAGGTATACCAAAAGGAACCTTACTGACTTTTCTGTTTGTTCCTTAAGACCCACAGCGACAAAAGGAGACGTGCCCGCGCTCGTTGGGCGGCCCCTACTTGACGCGTGGCTGACGACCTCGCCTCGCAAAACCCACGTGCGGCTTCTCCGCCTCGAGCGCGCGCTGCCTCGTGGCAAGGGGACACTTTGGGAGCTCAGGTCAGCTCTCATGGGTATCCCCTGTTTTGAGGCTTGTCTTCTTTCTTTCATGGTTTTAAACACACACACACACAAACACATATCTGGGATGTTCAAAGTGGAGTGTTGGCCAATCCAATTTTCCACCCGCTAGTGGACAACCACTCAGTCCAAATCCTTCGTAACCCAAGCAAAGGATTAAGGACAGCCTTTGAACAGCCCAGCATATCCATGCTGGGTGCTGCAGGGCTCTCCTAAATCTTGCCCGCAAACATCACGCCAGAAGGAAGTCATACAAAAGCGGCCCGAAAGGCGATATTGACACGATCTGAAAATGGAAAAAGGGGACTCCTGCGCTAAACAGGGGGTCTGTTTAAATTACAAAAATACCCATCCCCTTTTGATTTCCTTAGACCGTTTCAACAAATTGGGCCGTTTAACACGCAAGAGCAAGGGACAATCACGAGAAAGCTCGCACATGGTGGCTCTTGGGCCTGGAAAGGGAACACTTTTGTGTAGCCATTAGACTTAAAAAGAAAAAATATGGCCGGGGGGCATAGTATGCAGTTCAGAGATCTGGAGAAGTGTGGAAGTGTGGAAGTGTGAGGCAACAACAACCGACAGGAATGAGGAGTGCAGTTCGTTTCACTGTGTTGGATCCGCAAAAAGTTCTACCTCGCCCTGAGTTGTATCATCACTAAACGCACATATCATATATCCATTCTGGACAGGTAGGATAGTGGCCTTGCAAATAGAGGCCAGGCTGGGAATTGAAATCCGCCTCGATCCAATGACGACTTTATCGACTTAGCCCAAGGAGCTATGCACGGGTGAAATGAACATAAAGCCCCAACCAAGTTTAAGGAACCTTGTGGGTGAGGGACTTTACCTCACCAGGATGCCTTTGGTTTGCGCGCAGCTTTGCAACACGGCACCAAAACAGTGGGCCACACAAACATAACACATGCTGAGGGCACTTGGCACAATGAGCCTTGGGAACGTGCCAACCCGAGTGGTTTGAAAGGCGACGGCTGAGACCAACACGGCTTCCAAGGAGGCACAACGAAACCTGTTGCAATGTTACAAGGCGACATGGACAATCTTCCGAGTGAAGTACGGCAATTCACCAATTGAACTTAAGGGACAAAGCCTTTGCATAGCACCTGTGGACCCCAGCCAGGTGCCATGGTAAGGGGAAGGGTACATTGCCCTGGCCTTGAAAGAAAGACAGGCCTTCGGGCAGCAGGGTAGAGCACTGGCCTCTGATGAAAGAACCCTAAACACCTTGGGAGTTGCTTATGTTTGCTTTTGTTGTGTGTGTGTGTGTGTGTGTCGTTTTGGAAAATTCAATTTTCAGCCTGGTTTTAGAAATCACCAAGCAAACCTTCTGGCCGGGGGTGTCAAACGACCTGGCCAACTACAATTTTGGGGAGTCCAAACCTTGACGTCGCTGCCTCGAAGCCCTGGCAAGCCCCAAGCAGCGCAAGGTGATCCGAGCCTCGCGTTGCGAAACGACGAAGGGGATGGAAACGGACACAGAGCCGATAGCACCCCAAAAATCATAGGATAAGCCAATAATTGCCATTTTAGTAGGGTTTTTTGCTACGTGGCTTCATCGGGGTTGGAGTGAGGCATATGGGTGTTTGGGTTGTCTCCCCCACCATGTACATGACATGTCCAAATAGAGGGCGGGTGGATCTTAGGAAAGCAGGCGGTCTCCAAAACTGCTTGGATCTCCAAAAGAGATTTGATTTCAATGAACAATTCACGTAAATAAGGATGGGACCCCCTGTTCAGTGGAGGTTTGGGACGTGGGAAGCAGCTTCTTGCACAACAAGTATTCAAGGAGAAGACACTATCCTTCTCTTAAACCGCCAAATGCACATGCTGTCAGGGAGCCAAGGCGAACCAAACTTTGGAAAGTGCTGTGCCAGCGCTGCCCACAAGAGCCCTTTGAGATCTGAGCAGGGAAAACAGCAAGACAGCGCAACTTCAATTAAGATTGCTTACGCTCACTGGCAGCCTGATCAATCATTGAATTTTTCTTTTTTAAAATAATCAGCATGAGCCTCCAAGAAGGATGGTTGCTTACACTACTGTAAAGTAACCTGTTCAGAGGCAAGGAGCAACTTCTTACCCCAATGATCAGGCTTGTCCACACTGCAGCCTTTGTTCTTTCTCGAAGCATTGATTGACTGCAAGCCGCTTGACGGCGCTGTCAATTCCCATGCTGCAAGGGGATTTGTTCCCGAGCCGAGGGTTATTCCTGAGCAAGATGCGATGCGGCCCGTTGCAACCACCAGAACACATTGTTGACACATTGAACATGTGCCGGGGGGGGGATCTTCCACTTTCCGGGCTGGAAGGGCGTCGTTGTTTTTATTCCGAGTTGCTGCCTTTGACAAAGGGCCTGCAAAAGCATACTCGAGTGCGACGACTTGATAACATGTGTCTGCCTTGTTCAAATGCTCAGTGACCCTGGTGCCATGACAAATGAAGCATTGGCTGCCTTTTTGGGGCTGACCATTTCTAGTGGGCGTTTAAAAAAGGAAAAGATGATGCCGTTGAACAACGCTTAGGATCGGTTCACGCCTTCTCAAATCTTCTACTCAGCTTCCGGGTATCTTCCCCTTGGTGCCCTTCATGCTGCTTTCGCCACCCGAGGTCCGCCTAAAGCATGCAACACGTTTCTTCTCAAGGTGCTCCTCAACCGGCTGGGTTGGTCAAAACAGGGGATCCCTACTCCAAACCCGCAGTCCGTAGTGGAGAACCACAACAAGGGAAGCCACTAGCTTCTGGCAGGATTCAGGATTGACTTTGAACAACTATTTCAGCTACAACTTGGCCGGGAGGACCCAACACTCGTGGCTTGCCTCTCTTGGTTTCCTTTGAAGCCAACCTGAAAATGTGTCCCCAAAAACGCACACGCCCATCAACGGGAAGCAAGGTCAGGTTCCGCATGCTCTCGCGGAAAAGGTATTCCCCGAGAACGAATATGTGAGGAACACGGCGCGCCAGTGCGCCGGCGGGCTTTGTGACTCGTGACCCGCAAGCTGAGAGAGAGAGAGAGAGGGAGCTCTCAGAAATCCATTTTGGTGTGTTGTTGTTTCGAGCGTACCCTGTTCAGTTTGGTTTAAGAGGGAGACCGAAAGGAAAATCACCATTTTGGGGTGGCCTTCTCATTCTTGCAAGTACCCATTCTTGAACACATCTGGGTGATGTCCCCGAAAACGCTACCGCTAGAAAGTCATCAGCTTGGGCAACAAAGAGTTGGCTCTCACCCCGCGGAGCCACGTGTTCATGGAACAAGGCGGGGCAAAAATTCCATGGCCGCGCCCGAAGGCCCAACCACAACTCAAGTTCCGGTAGAAACCACCAACTGACGCATTGTTGATGTGTTGCTATGGCTTCGTGCCTCTGGACAGCCTAAGAACAGATCTTGATTGTAGTATAGGTTCTATTGCGATTGGCCCTTGGCCTTGACCCGCAAATGTTCGTGCTTCACTCCGGCATCGACCGGCTCTTGGTGTCTCCATTTTTGGCTTCATGCGTCTCGCAGGTTGGATCCGAGGGAACTCGGGGAGAGGGGGTTGAGAAGGGCAAGCTGCCAGAGCTGAAGGAACTTCAGACCAAGAATCTTGGTTGGCACCCTAGCGAGCTGCCCGCTTGGCGGAAAATCCTTCGTCGGTCTTCCACCCAAAGTCATCAACCTTCTGCGAGCTAAGAGAAGCTATTGGAAACATGTTACATTCTCCCCAAAGGGGAAAGGTTGCAAGAACACGCATAAGAGCAGCCCAATCATTTACTTGCTTCCTCACCCTGAGCAACACAGAAATAAGCGGGCCATTGTGAGGGTATCAAAATTAGAACCCCCCCTTCTTCAACATTCTATTGCCACTACCCTCAAACAACTACCCCGAAGGAAAATGGGATATCCAGCCATTATATAGCCAGCATTAAACCCCTGCAGGTAGAGGTTTGGGGATAGAGGGAACCATTTGAGATGGCAGTGTGGTGCAACCGTCAATCAAAGATTTCCGATTAGGCCATTTGTTTTTCTGCAGCGTGGGGTTAGCGTCAACTTGCCAACTCCCAAAGAAGGTGACTTTATGGCTTGTCGGAAGTTCATGTCGCTTTTGGCCAGGAGCAAGGAGCACTGTCAATGCAGAAAATGAACAAACACAGCAGGTTGTGCAGAATCCGGGTGATTTCATGTTCCTGAGACGTGTGCGTAACCTTGTGCTTTCTCTGCATTGGAGGTAGGTGACTTCCAGGGTAGCTCGCTTTGCCCTAGGCCTGCTTTGGAACGAGAACTGGTGCCATGGGAACTAGCGTGAGACAAGTGACATTCAGTCCGGCGCAAAAAGCGCCTTGCCTCTACTTGGGCGCTTTGGCACATACCGCAGCTAGAAGCTTGCGAGTATAAACTTCGCAGAGTCCTGAGACTCAGAGTCAAGGGACTCTAGGGTAACCTCGACCAAATATTGTGGAGGTAGGTTCCCCGCAGCCGCAGGAACACCTGGGACTTGACAGGAAGTGCACCAGATCTGCGTGAGCTAGGAAGAAACTGCCTTCAACCAAGAGGCATCCCAGCAGCCGAGTAAGCCCGGCTTTTGCGCCTAGAAATAAGGAAGGGCGACTTCCATCTGAAGGCTTGACAGGCCAAAGTGAAATCACGGCAGTTTCTTCTTGCACCCAGCCTGCAGAAGGAGCATTGACTTGGCCGGGTGCAATTCTTTTTCTAGTAAAACAATGCAGGTACTGCTTCACTCCGCCCGTCCTGGAAACTGGCCGCTCTTCTCTCCCAAACCAAAAACGGCCCTCTGAGTCTCAAAATCACCCGCTTACAAATCATCGAATCGTTTTGGTTTCCAGCGGACCTCGACTCGCCAGAAACATGGGCGACGGTGCCTAGAGCTCGGCAGCTCAGCCCAAAAGGTCCATCTGTCGAAATCCACAGGCCGGGGCAGCAACAAGTTTCACCCACTGTTCCTTGCCCGGGAATGCTGCATGCCTTGTAGGGATGCGAAACATAGTAGTTTGCCCAAAAAACAAAAGCAGTTTTTTTTGTGAACAAGAATCATAGGGTTTGCCTTTTTTTAAACATGACAAAAACAGAAAGAGCGCGAAATGCATATGGCCATACCATTCTAGCATGCAGGCTGTCTAGCCCAATGATTTTGGTTGTAACTCACCAACCTGAAAGCAGGGATCCTTGTGAAAAAGAACCCCGGCTTCTTCGGATTTCAGCTGTCAGGAGGGCCGGGTGTCACTTGCCTGCTTCGCCTGTATCGGCGGCATCTGCGTAGATCTGGCCCACTTGGACCGGGGGCTGGCGATCTGCTCAGCGCTTTTCCGCGCAGGAGCGCAACACGAGTTGATGAACTCCTGCTTTGGTCTCGCTGTCGCAGAAACCTCAGAGACAGGATGCCCCTTTCCCCTAACATCACCCCATCCTGATCTGGAAATGATTCACCCTTGGTGCCCAAGCAAACCACGATCAACCGTATTTCAAACCCAGTCCTTTCCATGGCCACTTCCGGATTCTGTCGGCAAGCCTCTGCCACGCCACGCTTCTGCGAAAAAGTAGAAGTGTTTGTTTTGAGGGAAACCGTCATCTTCCCAAACAATTGAAGGTCAAAGATCCAACCAAATAACAGCCAAGAAATTGGCACCCATCAGATTCGGTCCACGCAAGTCCAGGCGGCGGAGTTTCCTTGCCATAGAACTCTCTCGGGCCTCTGCACCTGCGGCCAGCACTCCCTACCTCACCGGACTGATGGATCCGAGGCCCAAGGGATAACATTTCGTCTGAGAGGATTCGCCCCGAAACTGTCTAGTTGAACGTCAACGCAAGTGAGCGAGTGCTGCTTTGCACCGCGCGAAGCATGGAACACCAGGGGCCAAAAGAGCGCAGCTTGATTGTTGCCCCAAGAAAAATGCCACCGTGCCAATGGCATGTGCCGTTGCGACTTCGAAGGTCGGCTTGAGGTTGTACAAACATCTGCATGGGTTTGTCTGCAAGGGAATCCTTAAAGCGGGCGGTGTCCAGTTGGTTTCCTGTTGAATAGACACAACCCAGCGGACATGGTAAATGGGGCCCTGGTGCTTGTGGAAAATGTTTGGGCCCAAGTCCTCTCCAAATGACTATAGAATCACTACACAAAACATTGAACGTTCGACCACAGAAACAAAGACATTCTATCCTAATCGTGTCACCACCAGCAGTATCCCCTTGTCAATGCCCCCTAAACTATTATCAAGTTTATGGCCAAAGATCTTTCAGATGCGGGCAAACGTTGACCCAGTCAGTGATTGTTTCCGATCCCTCGTTGCAAAAACCGATCGCAACGCGGCCTCGCTGACGCTGGCCATGCTGCCTTCCAGCTGAAGCAGCGCAGTTCGGAGATCCCGGACCTATCTGATCGACCGGTGAACCCGGTTGAGGCCAAACGGATCGAGTCTATGGAGGTGACCCCCTGCTACCGTAGTGATCACTTGGACAATGAGGAAACCCCAAAGGATGTTCAAACGGATTTTGAGGCTTGCTAGCCCACGTTCAGAATGGGTGGCCGCAACCCAAACCTTTTGTGGCCTTTGGCATCCCTCTTCACTGGGAATCTTCCATATTGGGAGGCGGGTTTACAATGCACTTTTTGTTTCCCTTCAAGAAAAGAACATAGTGTATCTGAAGATCGATTCTGTTACTAATCACAAAGCAAGTTGGTGCACATGAGCATCGCCCGAAACTTTTTCATGCTTGTGCTACCAATATGCGTACAAAGGATTATGTAGGCCATACTGAACCTGGCAAAGCAAGCCGCCAAGCATGGAAAGCCTTGTAATTTGGTCTTTGCTCGTTTGAGGTTCGGAGACCCTAGCCGAAGGTTCGAATTCGATATTGACGGTTGTCTAGCCTATTAATCGCACAGAAATCCAGAAAGCTTCTCCACCGCCCTTCCAACCTTCAGAATCCGTTTTGACTGGTGACACTTTTCACCCCGTCTGAGTGTCCCAAAGCTGTCTTCACAAACATGATGGTGGGCGCTGCCTACCCATGCCACCCCCGCAGCGTAGGACGGTTGTTGCAAGTAAAACTACCATATACTGCTCTCCATGGCCAAAATTGAGAGAACCAGCCAGGGTCTACCTTTGACGGCCATGAAAACACACAGGACCTCTTGGGCCCTGAGAGACCAATAGATGTTGCAACAAAAGGTTTCCAACCTGCGTCCGAGAATCCGAAAACCAATGGCGACTTTTCCCCAGCTCAAAGCTTAGGGTGTTTTGCCGCAGCAGGGTAGCTCTCCCGAAAAAGAATGGAAAAAGGGCACTGGATGCAAGTCGAATCTTCCCGCCTGCGCTTGCCAGCTGGCGAGCTCCGGCGGCAAAGAATCTGGCCTCAGACCAGGGCTTGGTCAGTTTGAGAAGGGGACGGAAACCTGTTTCTTTGATTTTCAGCTCAATGAAACGAACAAGGCGTTGCAAGGGTGGACTTGGAAAACGGTGGACTTGATTTGCATGGCAACCAGTTGAAACGCTCAAAGGCTGGACAACTCGCTGGTGTGCTCCAAATATTTGCTTGCACGTGTGGGTCTCACAGGGGATCGAGAAACCATCTCATGTTCAACAGGCTCAAGGTTACAGCGCTGACGAGACGCTTGAATTTTTCCCTTTGGTCTGGCCAATTGCTTCTATTTACAAACCGGAAATTGGGAATCCTCAAGGGACCTCCACGGGTTTCGTTTGTTCTCCCCAAGAGCTCGTTCTAATTTGCCCTTTAAAGGGAAACAGGGTTTGGTTGTTTAGGCACAACCCTGGCTGAATCCCATGGCAGAATTCCACTCAATGCTTGTGCAGCCCCCTGTGCTCAAGGAGCGCCATGGTATCACCTTTGAGGGCTTTGACTACGTATGCCCACAGCGTAATGCTGCAAGGACAGGAGTCATTTGTTGGGTGACCTGCTCATTCGTCGGATGCTACACGCATGATTGTCCTTTTTATGAGAACCCGTTTGGGAGTCCCCTGAATTGGTTGCTGTGAAGCCCAAGTATGGCAATCGCTCGAGGCGTTCACAACAAAGCAACCTGAAGCCCAATAATGGGGCAACGATGCAGCAACTGTGTCCAAGTACTCTGGAGATCATTTATCATACTGCTTCGTGCCAGTAAACAAACGGGGCTACTCACCATCCAATGTTTGAGATCACCCAAGCCACGGGGCCTTCTCAAGCCAAGGCATGCGGCTCTGACCGGCAGGAGCCATCTCCACGGAAGAGCATGTTACTTGCAACGCCAGCAGGAATCCAACGTCCAAGAAACCGATTGAGCAGGGCTCAAGGGCATTCTGACAGACGTTTTACCCTACTTCAGGGCTGTATCCTCTTGTACCCAACTCAAAGCAACACCTTGCACTCCAAAAGCAAGCAAGCCAGACAGCGCCACGCCACGCCACGCCACGCCACGCCAAGCCAAGCCAAGCCAAGCCAAGCCAAGCAAAGCCAAGCCAAGCCAAGCCAGCCAGCCAGCCAGCCAGCAAGCAAGCAAGCAAGCAAGCTCCCCTTAGGCGCCCAGGCGATGTCTCCGTCTGCGTGGCCACTGTGGAGAAGCTAGGAAGCCGCTTCGGTAGCCTGGGCTGGAGCAGCGCCCAAAAGCCATTCTTCGCCACGATGATAAATATTATAAAGGCTATGGGCTATGGCTTTGTGCTTTTCCAAGGGCGCCCTTTTCGGATTCGCTTCAGCGATGCCAAAAGGACAAGCACTATTTTGGGGGGTTCGCCGATTCTGCAAACCCATGTACCTTAAAAGTCACGTTGTACAAGCAACAAGCTACTAAACTTGCGAATGGGGGTTTTGGGCGCTCAAATCGTTTGGGATCACGTGAGTCTTCTGATTGATTGAAGCAATCTCTGATAGACCATGATATTGCCTATGTGTTTGACAGAAAGAAAAAACATCGCAATACGGTGACAGGAAGGCTTTCTACTACGCCATCATTCCTATCTTCAATTACCGATCGCTTTTGAGGTCACCGAGAAAGCCACTCACGTATTGCTGCCATGAACACTTTTATCGAGGCTGTCCTTATTGCCTTCATGTTGTTGCTGGCAGACCTGCTGTTCACCCGAGGAAACACATTCAGGGCGGGATATCGCGACTTGCTGTTCTCAATTCCTGCAACTCTTTGGGCACAAAACAGCTGTAGTTTCCAGGCTTGCGCTTCGGAGTTCTGACCCGAATATCAGCTGCTTGGCCTGAGCAATGCAAATCGTTTGCCAGTTGTCTTACCACAGACTTGGCTTGGAAAACTGAATCCAAGTCTCATAGCTGACGCCGGCACACGAAATGCAAATACCACGTACTTGCTTCTTTGCTCTGAATCGTACAGCTCTGGAAGGCAATGTGTCCTTTGTGTTCTGATACTCAGGGTTTGCTTGACGCCATTCATATTAATTTGCATTACTTTTGCTTGTGCAGTCTTGGCTTTCAAACCTACGCCATGCCCCTTCTCCACGCCGTATCTTGCATTATTATTGCTCTGAAGCCAGACGCAAGAAACCTGTTCGTTTGAACTGAACGTCTGTTCTAACAAAGACTGGAATCAGTGCCTTCCTTGATGTCTTGGTCTGGGAAGCATTTTGTCTCCTATTTTTCAATGGATGCTCCAATACTTTTGTTTTCGCAAGTTAAAGGAAACTTCACGGGCTTTGCTGACAACTTTTCTTTGGTGGTAGTCAAGGCAGTGAGAAATTGAGGTTTTTGTTGAACGGTAGCAGAAACTTGAGAAGTCCAAGACTGACCTACTAAACCTCAACTCCCCGCTTTTGATGCTTTAAAAAAACAAAAAAAACTGGGATTTGTGATATCCATTGTAGAGAAAAGGATTGTCTTCCTGTCTTGTTCTCCAGCCAATATGCGTTTCATATCGCCTGCCCCAGTGGCGTAGCCTACAGAGACTCCAAACAAGGTGCTTTTTAACGACTGAGCCATTGGTTTCCCCTCAAAGGGTACTCCGTAGGTGCGCTGCTAACGGGTAAGAATCCTTTCCGGCCAGGCAGCGAGTCGGTGGTAGTGGTACTACCATTCAGGCCGTTGGTCAAGCCCGGAAAGCCGTTCGTGCCGTGTATTCCGCCGTTGCGATAAGCGGGGCTGATGCTGTTCACGCCCAGGCTACGGCTCCCTTCCAGCATCCCGTATTCCGAGGCAGAGGCTGATTTCTTGAAACCTCAGAAAGCAGACAGCGCCATGGACGCAAGATCACCTTGCAGGCAACTCTAAAAGACAATACCATGGTTGCAACATAGACCATAAATTCTCGGGGGTGATTAGGGCAGGTGTTCTTGGCTGAGCTGGGCAGCTGATGTTCTTGAGATTCATGCCTGAGTCCTCCAAATGAGCCTTCAGCGTCTCCAGGGCATCAGAGATCATGTGCGTCTGCTGCTTCACCTCCTTCGAGATTTCCCATCGACAAGGGTGTGTGTGTGTGTGTGTGAAAAAGGACGTACCCTTGGGGTTGTTCCAAAGGGAAGCTGAAGCGAAACCGGGTTGTCCCTCTTGTTTGGTCGTTGCATACGCCAATGCAACAGCCCGAAGGGCGCTCGCCCGGAACACTGCCAGATGCCCTGCCAGCAATGGCAGGGCTGGTGGAGACAACTACCCTCATGGTATACGCTGTCAGGCCATCCAAATAGTTGTCCACCTCCATGAACAAGAGCCATAACAACAATTGAATGAATGAGCAAACAAACAAATACAAAAATTATCCACAATGTGTATATATATATATATGTTTAATCCAACATTCTCACTTTTAGAAAAGAACAAAACAATTACACCAGCATAGACCCCAGATAGCACACCACGGCTACGAACCATGACGCAGCATCACAATGGTTCCCGCGGCATGATGATGATGTTGACAGCATCTTGAAAATACCACAGCTACTCAGCATAGTACGCTACATAGACGCGCAAACAACGCCCTAGTGAGTCCATCAGCAAAACGATGATGTTGACAGGATGATGCTGATACACCAGCCACGAACGATTCCGCGCTACATATCTAGCAGAAAAAAGGCAGAGACGGAGTTCGACAGCATCACGATGATGCGGACAGCATCATGGTGACGCTCACAGCATCCTGGTGATGGCAAAGGCAGCATCCAGATGACGCCACAGCCACGAATCATCTTGCGACAGTGTAACGCGGCATCGCAGCGATTGCAGCAGCATCATAACGTGGTTGACAACATCATGATGATACACCAGCCGCGAACCATTACGCGGGACAGGTAGAGAAGCAACAACATCCGAATCGGTTCAACAGCATCATGATGCTGCTGACAGCATCATGATGCTCCGGCCAGCATCATGATGATGCGACAACCACGATACCCCAAACAGCACCCACCCTAGCACCCTGCCATCCATATGCGCCCGCACCATCACCAACACCCGAAAACAGCCCCAATAGCACCCCAACGCAGCACCCGCGCCAGCACCGGACACGACGTCCCCGAGCACCCTGCCGTCACGTACTGTCACCAGCACCTGAACCGAACAGCGCCCCTGCGCCAGTGCCCCAAAGTGCATGCCCCCTAGCTCCCAGCCGTCGATCTTGCAAAACAATTTCCCTTCTTCATTGGAAGTTTATGGTTTCCAGTTATCTGGGAAATAAGCCCACTCCAACAGCAACACAAAACAGCACCTGCACCACCACCCCAAACTGTATGCCCCCTAGCACCCGCCGGCAATCTCCAAAAATTGCGCCCACAACGTCAGCAGCACCTCAAACAGCACCCCAGAAAGTACCCCAAAACAGCTGCATCAGCTCCCCAAACTGCATGCGGCCATAAATCTTGCAAGAATGTGCCTGCACCATCACCAGCACCCCAAACAGCACCCCAAACTGAGTGTGCCCCCCCGCTGTCCATCAGTGCCTTAACAGCACAGGCACCAGCACCTTAATCAGCACCGCAAACTGCATGCCCCCTAGCACCCGTCCGTCAATCTCGCAAAACAGCACCTCCACCAGCACTCCAAACTACATGCCCCCTATCTCGCAAAGCGGCACCGCCACCAGCACCCGAAACTGCATGACCCCTAGCGCCCGGCCGCCAATCTCGCAAAACAGCACCTCCACCAACACTCCAAACTACATGCCCCCTATCTCGCAAAAGCGGCATCCACCAGCGCCCGAAACTGCATGCCCCCTAGCAACCCGCCGTCAATCTCGCAAAACAGCATCCACCAGCACCCCAAACTACATGACCCCTAGCACTTGGCCGTCAATCTCGCAAAACAGCACCTCCACCAACACCCCAAACTGCATGCCCCCTAGCACCCGGCCGTCAATCTCGCAAAGCGGCACCTCCACCAGCGCTGCAAACTGCATGCCCAGTAGCACCCGGCCGTCAAGCTCGCAAAACAGCACCTCCACCAGCACCCCAAACTGCATGCCGCCCAGCACCCGGCCCTCAATCTCGCAAATCACTTTCCCTTCTTTATTAGAAGTTAGAACCCCTATAGCTTTCAGCTATCTGGGGAAATACATAAATGAGTGCGTGCACATCAGCATTCCCCTATTTCGTGGTTTGGATTGGTGGCTCGGGGGTTCCCATTCACCCTCCCCCAGACTGCCAATGCAACCCACCAATTTGGGGTAACCTGAACATAAACAACTGCATACAGCAATCAAACAAAACCAGAAAGACCACACTAAATGAGTATATGGAAAAAAGAAGCAAACAAAAAGAAACGTCAAAAAATAAATAAACAAGGTCACGGCGAAACTAGCGACGCGGGCCGCGTCAACTTTTTTCATACATCGCTTCGGTTTGCGGCCTTCGACACTTCGGGCGCTTCTAGCCAGATGTTCACTCCAGCATTATATCTGAACTGAGAGCTGTACGTCCACTGCCACTGCCACACATGCGGGTTGAGCATCAATCCAACTGCGCTCCAGCCATCGGGTGGTGCTTTGGCCACTGCGCGCTTGATGCGGCGACGCGCACGCGACATGCCAGAGCAAACACATAGATAAGCACGTTCCTGCGCTTGTGTCAAAAGAAACAGGACCTGCGCGCGCCAAGCCTACTCAAACACCGACTTGCGGCTAAACGCGACCGTGCAGCTAAACGCGACCTGCCACTGGTGGAAAATAAAACTCAAAGCCACGCGCGCACGAGCACTCTTACCCCCCGACCCCTCCTCAGCGTGAACCTGCTGCGCGCGGCTTGCGGTAAGCGACCTGCCGCTGGCGGGAAATATAACTTGAAGTCAAGTGTGCTACGAACACTCTTACCCCCCCCCCCCACCCCCCCCCCCGCCCGCGAAGGTGGTTGTACAGCGGCGCCGCGCAAGCTAGGTCCTGAAGGAATGAGAAGCAGGAAAAATTCTTCCGCGTCGCTAACGTCGCCGTCAGCATAAACAACACAAACAAGTACATACAGAAATATGTACATAATCATGAGAAACACACAAATTAATAAATAAGTAAGCAACTAAATAGAAATAACCAATATACAAGTAAGTTAACACATATGCCAAAAAGACACACGTCACACAACAAACAAATACCGAACTAAATAAGCAATGCACGCAGACATACAAAAATTAACAACCAGTACATACAATAAACAGTCAACAGTGAGCAAGCAAATAAGGACACAGTGCGCAAACAAATACATGACCAAATAGAACTAAATAAATAAACAACTCCAGACTCCAATACATACAGCCAAATTAAAATACAGAAATACATGCATAATTAATACACAAGTACATAAACATGAATACGCGTGTCAAAAGTCAATACATAAATAAACACGCAAATACAAAACACAAACGCACAAATGACGCATGACGCAATACTAGTAACAATAACACCAATGATAATGATCATGATGATAAATGTCAATCATAATGACAATGAAGCTGCACATCATCATCATCATCAACAACAACAACGCATGCCCAACAGCAGGGACACAAAAACACCACCAACGTTGTAACTCCGGCATCAGCGCCAGGAGTGCCACCATTCCGCAACGCGACCCTGCTAATGTCCCTTTAACCCACCCCCCCCCCCGCCCAAAATGGGTGCCGTCAAAATCCAAAACACACACTGGTGATGGAAGAAGGTGGAAGAGTCGAGGGCCTGAAGCCAATGCCTGTAACAGGTGCCTCCGCCCCCCTCTGTCCCAGCCTGGCGTCAAAGAAGGTAAGCTTCAAACTAATTTGGCTAAGATCGAGCATTGAAATGGAAAATGACACAGCGGTCACCTCTGGCTTTGAGTGACTAGCGGCGTGAATCAACAATTGCAACACCCACAGTTGATAGCAGGTACGTCCGGATGATCAGTCCGGATATCCTCCCAACTCATGAGCAGATTCGTTGGCATTGGGCTCATGAGCGGGCCACTGTCCCCTGCTTGTGACAAACAGTCCGCGATTCCGAGCAACGCTCTCCCTCGAATGGTGTGTCACACCCCGCTGCATATGGGGTTGCACCACAGGGGACCCCAAGTCAAACCTGGGCTGAGAGTTTCCTTTTGGCCGTTCAAAGAAACCGGAACCTTTCCTGTTTGGGGGTGTGCTTGGACGGGACACCTAAGGAAAACCACCATGTGGGGGTTCCCTGTGTCGAAATAGGGATTTGGACCCAACAAAACGTAACGGTGTCCCTCCAAAACTAGAGCAGAAAGGGCGCATTCAAAAGATGACACACCCGCAAGCGCCATGATCAAAAGCAACCCTTGACTTGGTTACTAAGGGTGGTCATGGATTGATCATGTTTCTTGTTTGAGGCTTGATATCCTTCCTCATGGGGCTACGGATGTTCCGTCCTTGATCTGGCTCCGCAGGAACATGAGGCTCAGCGACATATCCTGGGAGCGCATCTTCACCACCTCACACGCTTCGAGACGATCGGCACGCACGGGTAGAAAAGAGGTCCCTGGGTAGAACAGTTGCTGATAGAGGGAAACCTAAGGAAACCATTTACGGAATGTCCACTTTGTTCATAAACAGCTCGTCGATGGGATTTCAAAACGATCCAAACAAGGTTTTGGGGTCTTTGCACCTCCAGCATTTCTTTGATTCTCAGGTATAGGTCTGGCGCATACTGGATTATACTGGCACATGTTTGGCATCTGCCAGAATTGCGAGACTTTTTGAGCATTTCGCTTGTCAGTTGCTCGAAGGTCTAAAAGTTCAAAACAAAAGGAACACACCAATTCTTGAGTTTCGCTTATTTTTGCAGCTTGAGCTGACCAGTCCCCGTATTGCTTCTTGGAAGCCAACTGTCTGCGCTCTTCATTTGGGGGCTGCAAGGATTCAACTTCTGTTGCCCCACATCTTAGGCTTTGTATCTAAGACTATAATCGAGCACTACATGATGTGTTGTTACTCTGGAACGCTCGCAAAGGTCTTGTACTCACTGAGTGGCCAAAGCAAGTCTAGACTATTCGTTTGCCACTAATATGGCCTTCCCTCAGCCAGTGTCCCTATGACATGGGTACATTTTGGGGGCAAATTGAGAAAGTCCTCCATGTCCGTCCCAAACGGACGACCATGCACTGCTTCTACTTGGGCAATGCCCACCTGGCAGCCTCAGGGTCCAAACAGGGCCATGCTTTTGACAACCCCCAACTGAGCTTTCAAGCAACACCGTCTGCCTGCTCCACAAACTCGGAATATTCAATGTCGCCGGAGCCATCCTCGTCCAAGACTTTGAATAAAGAGAGCATATCCTCGGGCAGGTTGGTTGGTTGAGGGGTTGGGGGGTTGGCGGGGTTGGATCGGATCTTGCTTGCTTCGAGGTTTCCAGTGCTGACAGCTTCTATCAGCTTCTACTGCACTTGGCTTGTTTTCTCTTTGCCTCGCTCGTTCATTCAATGGCACCCTCACAACAAAGACACAAACCTCGCCCGGTTTTGGCTCCCAGGACACACACACACACAAAGCCGCTGAGAAAGCGTCCTGATCGTGAACGCATCTCAACTCAGTGCTTCAGCCATGAGATCGAGTCGGTTGTTGTGACAGGCAAAGCAGGTGTGTTGGTCACCTACAAATTTTGCCAGGCTCCGAAAACAATCCTTGAACACTTTCCCAAAGGGCTATCAACTGGAATTAACGGGTGCAAGGCAACGTCTGTAACTTCCCCTTCGGCTGGTGACTGTGGTTTTGGCAGCACAGGGCCGAAGGTCCCGCCCAAGGGTCTAAATATTCGGGGGGGCGCATCAATTCATGCTCGTAGCAAATAGATCCATTTGTTCATTCCAGTTGCTCGGATGAATGGGGATGAATCCGTGGAATTCTTCATGTAGAGGTATCTCACAAAAGTGGGAAACACTTCCGACTTTCATTCCCGCAGCCTTAACGGGACCCCCCCCCCATTGTGGTTGAAAGGGGTGTATCCCATTTGCCTGTGAAATTTCTGGGCGAACACCCTCAAAATATGACAACAGCAAGTTCCATGTCCTCTTTCAACTCATACCTGCCCATTTGGGAGTTTCTCACAATGGAATTCTGATCCCCTCTTGGTCGGCATTTAGCGGGAAACTAAACGGACACCGAAAAGCAAACAAATTCCCCTCAAAACTTCCTGTAGATGTTTGGGCAGAACATGATCCTATCAAGGGAGGGGATTCCTCGAAACAGGACATTGGGGAGACCAAAATGGGTTCCCTCTTGGTTCCCTTTAAACTAAATGGTATCGCATTCTGCGAGCCTTTTCTCAACCGGGTGGCATCCCGCTCCACGTCCATGAGCCGCATCTGCTCCTTCGCGCAACTCAAGGGGGTTTAACCAACACTTGACCCGAGTCTTCAGAGTTGAGTGCGTGGCAAAAATAGGGGGAATTCAAACAAAAACAAGAAGAAGAAGAAGAAGAAGAAGAAGTGGTTGTCCTTTTGGTTCCCGTTCAGGAACCTTCAAAGGGTGCAAACTCCCAAAAACAAAACTCACCACGTCTTTTGTTAGTCGCTCAAAAGAGAGGACCCCCTTTCACAAATCTCAAAGGGAAAGCGCCAGGCAAGACGACAGGAAGCCAGTCGCTTAAGCCGGCTTTCGAGAGCTCCTGGAATTCCGGTAGCCGGTCGTAGCCATTCAGCAACTCAGCCAGCGACAGGCACCCACTGTGGTCCTATCGCCGCTCGCTCGCTTCCCGCAATCAGGGAAAAGGGAAACCCAACAAAATCCCAACTAAAATATCCAACTTTAGATTCTTCAACATCTCGAGAAATCTTAGTCGTAACTGGAAGTGGGAAAAAAAAACAACGCCTGACTTCCGGTGGATTAATGGGTCGAATTGTGACACCCCGAACATTACCCTGTTCTTTTGGCGGTTGAAAAGGGAACCACTCCCAAGAGTCACTTTGGGAAGCCCCAAACATGTTCACCCTGATTTTGGGGGAAGGAAAGCGACCGGGGGGGGGGATGCAGGTGTTTGTTTCTCCCCTGCGGATTTACATGGAACCCCAGACGAAAAACACATCTCCTCTTTTCAGAGGAATGGCGGATTCTGCACAAATAAGGAACCTGGAACAAGTAGACTGGTCCATGCCCTTTCCGTTTCCTTTTGGAAAAATCAAGCAGGGTACCGCCCCCTTGTTTCAGCATGTTCAAACCACCATCTAAACAACTTTCTTTTGGCTGGCTTCCCTTTACTTTGGACGGGGGTCTGCTTGTTGAAGCCAATTTGCCCGCCCTGCAATTCAGCAACATCAATTTTCCAGCAGTCCTCGTCCAGCTCGGCGCAAAGATCCATCCTATGGCAGAGTACCAGCAACTCACCCGCCAGAGTTTGGAAGTGCATGAGGGCGTGACTTTTTTTGAGGCTGGGTAACCCGGTAAACAAGAAGGGTTTACCCTTCCCAAGCTTCCCTGGATCTTGACACACTCACGCGCGAGATAAGATCCGCTATGGAGGACATGCTTGGACATTCCACTCCGCTTGGGCGACCCTTTTGAATGGGAGATCGGATGCGAAAAGCACATGATTGTCCTTTAGCGCAAGCTGGAACCCCCAAATCACTGCAGGCCCAGCGGAAAACTGAGTATGCAATATATTCTTATATACCGGCGTCTGGTGGTGGTAACCCGAAGAGAGATCTGAAAGGGGGCCTGGTCCAACCAGTTGTCTTGACATAGTAAAGCGAATCATATGGCTTGAGCCACCTCAATTGGGTTTCCATTCCAACTCCCTGTTTGTTAAACAAAAATCCTGGTGATATCTCCAACAGCCCCGAAAGCCCCTGGAACCCTGGTGAAGCCTCCTAAGTCACTCCCGGGCAATCGAGAGGACATGAAAGGACACCCACCATTTTTGGCGGCGCAATACCCATTTGGGTTTCTAACGACCCCTTGTTTTTCAGTGGGAACCCAGTCGCCCGTCTCCCCGCTCGGCCATGGCTCAAGCTCTGCTTGGCTGCATCGAAGGCCGCCTGGCGCTGGGAGATCTGGAACTTCTTGTCCTCTTGGTGCGCCTCGGTTGACTCGGAAATCCACCCCAAGCACAAGGTGAAGCAGGGGCTTTCCACCAACCCAGCTGAACCAAAAACACCAACGGGTTCTTCGGGCCAGTTTTGTGGTTGCATGCGGAAAAGAAAACAGCATTCCCCCGGGATGATGAGGAATTCTTGATGCAATTGGGCACCCGACCTCGCAACCCTCTTCTATTTTTTTGGGTTCTATTAGTCCACTTCAAATGGACACCGATCAGCAAGTGGTTTAGACTTTGTGGGCCCCGAATCACCGTCTGCGGGCCTGATGGGCCTTATCCACGATAACCGAGAGGATGAGGTTCAGCAAACCTGCGGTTGCTGGAATGAGCCGTGAGCCACTGTGACCCAACATCGGAGCTGACGCGGCTTCCACCAAGATTTTGTGGACAGACCAAATCCTGCACCATTCATCCATCCTTTCTGGTGTAGGATATTGTCCATCCACAGTAGTCATACAGCTCACAGGACAACTTCTCTCCCCACAAAGCAGCAGAATCAACTGCTTTACCGACGGAAGGGGTTTTTGGGCGCTGTTCATGGTGTCCAACGTCTGCGGGGCCCTTCCTTTTTTTTGCGTTGTTTTTTGGAAGAAGCACACAGTTCTTAGAACCCTTCCTATTTTAGAATGAGTTAACATAGTGGGCCCGCAAATTGGTTTGTTTTCCTTGTAGGCTTTTGGCTCAGGTGATGCGCCAACTCAGCCATCACAAGACCAGCACGCGTCTTGAGAGATCTGTGCCCGGTTTGAGACTCAGATTGCGGAGGGTGGTCATCTGTTCCCCCCCAACCAGAGGGCGCACTGGAGCCTTGGATCCCACATCGGGGCTCATGTCCCACACATTCTTGTCACCCCGTCTCGTCTTGGGGCCTGCCTCCCGCACTTGTGCGCAGCACGGCAGTCTGGCCCGAACTGCTGCACGCCGAGCTGTTCAGGGGAAGCTTCGCAGACTTTGCACGCCGCTCATACCATCCAGAGGCAACGCGCCCGTCTTTGCACAGTGGCCAGCATACGTTAGCGATGAGCCCGGGTGCCGCTGCTTTTGTGTCTCATTTGAGGCCACTGTTATTCCACCAAAGAATCTTGCGTACCCAGCTGCATGGATGGACCACGGAGCTCGCTGCCCTTGCCCCTCTTGCAGCCCCTCGAAGCACGAGACTACATTTGGCTGATGGGCTTCCGCCTGCATGGTATGCAGCAAAACTGGTCCCGTGGTTGGCCCCAACGCCATCACCGCCATGGCCCTTGTCAACCTCGAGGATTTTGAGGGGTTGGTTTTTTCCTCCGGGCAGTGCAGTGACCCGATGCTTCCGGCATGAGGGCACTTCCTACACAGGCAGCGCTACAGTTTTGTCTTGGACCACTGACGTTCTGAGGGGCTGTTTCTGCGAAGCGCTGCGATCCTGGTTGCACTGCCGAGTGTTTCGTTGGGCCTGGACCCAGATTCTGCCAAGTGAAGATGGCGATGCCGCCATGTCTCTTGTCGCCAATGGACATGTTGCTCCTTTTCGAAACGCAGCGTTCTCCGGATGAAATCAGCCTGGTAGTAGGAGGCATTGCCCATATTGTCATGTGTGCACTCGCGCGTGTGCGCTGGAGTATTTCGATTGTGGCTGCCTTTTCGTAACGCCGCCGCCTGTATTTGGCTGCGGCCTTGTAGCAGGAGGCCTTGCCTACTCGCAATTGTCTCGAGTAGAAGGCGCTTGAGGCGTGACAGGTGGACATGTCTGCGGTCGCATCGGCTGGGCGCGGGTATGGGGATCAAGCGTGACGGTGACGGCGGTTTTCCTTTTTGTTTCCTTTTAAGCGATCCAAATTAGGTAACCTCAAACCAAACTCCATCTCGGGGAAACGCAGAAGCGGGGTGGCAACTCCGGCCCCATGCTCGGATGTTCGCTCTCACCCCGCGTGAAGCAAAGTGAGGTGGGTGCCAGTTTTGACTACCTCCTTGAGCTGGGAAAACCAAACAGAGACTCCCTTCATTTTGAGGCGTCCCATTTTTTGAGACAAAGCCAATTGTTTCCGCAAGAAGCCCTGGGAAAATTGGGCCGGGTACTGCTGAGATGTTTGCTTCCGTCGCAGCAAGGGGCCTAGGTCGATGGTGACGAAGACCATGAGAAAGAAGGGCACCACCAGAGGGTGCTCCTCCAAATCGATCAAAACTCCGCTAATTGCAGGCTATAGCAGTGTTTACATTCGTGGTCTGAAACCCTTCCCCCCAAACAAAAAACAGAACAGGTCACCCCGAGCGTGCGCAGTTGTGTGTTTATATGGTGCGTTCAGGAAAAGACTACCCACAAAAAAAGACAACAGCCACCAAACCAAAACAAAGCAAGACGATGCCCCCAAGTCAGGACAGGTGGCGCAGTCCTTTTTGCTTGTTTGTTCCTCTATTTGTTTCGTTCTTGGGAAAAGTGTGCAAAGACCCGAGAACACCACACAAACTATGCCAGCTGTCCTGACTTGGGGGCATAGTCTTGACTTTCTGATGTTGTGTCCTTTTGGTTCTCTCGAGGTGTTTCGCACTTGCAAAAAAGGAAGAAGTAACAAGCCAACAAACACAAGACTATGTCAGGTGTCCTGACTCGGGAACATATCTTGTTTTCGTTGTTCTTGTTTGTTGTTCTTGTTGGTGTGTGTTTTGCACTCTTTGCTTTTTCACGTTTCCGGCCTGTGTGCAAGAGCTTCCGTGTTCAAGTGCACTTGCGTAGTTCACATCCAAGCCCGAGTACAGGAAGCTAGAGATGGTTTCCTCTGACTAGATTCTTTCCTGATTTTATTCTATTTAATTTCAATTGGAAATTGAGTAGAAATTTAGAAAGACATATAGTATAATTCAGAAGGAAATAATTCAGAGGTCCCACATTGTTGAGTAATTTGTGTTTACATGTAAACTGTGTTTACATGTTTACTGGTTTGTAAAAAGAAAAACAATTCTATTGGAAAGAAAATCCTGCGTGACGCTTAAATTGAAATAGAATAACCATTCTCATTTGAATTCTGATTTAAACTAGACATCCTAAATGGATAAGGTCCTTATCAAATTCTATTCAAATTTCAGTCAGCAATTAGGTAGAATGTGATAGAGCCGTTAAGCAGAACTCATAAGGAAAGAATTCAGGGGTCCCAAAATCGTGCTTTTACTAGCCCAAGCACTACCATTGTCAGAAAACACTGCAATAACACATTGTTGTGATACGCTTTCCGTACTCAAGTCAACATTTAAACAATTTAATCAAACAGAGTTCAACTCGAATTTCCGTTTAACATGTGAAACAGCGCACGCTCACAGCGACCCGTTCTGCAAAAAGGAACTCCCTACTAAGCAAAAGTGAGTGTTGGACCGTGGCAGACGTGGTTCTTGGAAACCCTTGTGATACCAAAGTAGGATTGCCATCCCCATGGATGTTTCCTCTTTGAGGAGGATTCCCTGAGGATATCGCACAAACTGGGCCTAAACCCACAAAAATAGGATTCAAACACAACTTTGAAGGGGATTTGCTGAGGGTAGGGAAAGTGGCAACCTAAACCCCGTTTTCCACAACCATGCCCCTCATTACTTTGGTTTCCTTTGACACCAAGCGCACAATTGCTGTCGTCAAAAAGCAAAACGTAATCAAATAGCCCCCCCCCCCGACAAAAGTACCTCCCCTCAAAAACACGAGGTAGGTTTTCCTGTTAGCTTCACATAAAGTGAGATTGCAAAAACCAAGCCCCCCGCCCCCCGCCCAGCATTTTGTGCCGGGTGCTCCTCCATTATGGGGATGGTCACTTTGCCCCAACTGTCTCCGGCCACGATCTGCTGACCTCGGAGAATTCCAGCCTTTCGGGTTGGTTGCCGTTAGTTGGCTTCCCCAAAAATCTCAAAGCTAACCTTGGGACCCGCAAGTAGCTTGCCAAACCTAATCCATGATCCGCGGAACCTTTTAGGACCTGACCAAAGGTTAAGGGACACCCCAAAGGTCGATTCGCCGACAGCCGGAGTCGGAACATGGGCAAACCGGGCTGGCCCTGGGGCTCGATATCTCACAAAGCCCGCGACTTTCGAGGCAATTTGTAGAGAAACTCATTTGACATTTGGCATTGGGAACCCATATCTTGAATCTCGATTCTCTTGAACCGGACGAATATTGAAGGATAAAAGGAACGGTTCCATGGATGGACAGCGGCCAACAGGCGGCAACAGGCGGCAACAGCCTCACCACTTGAGACTTAGGTGGTACGCCTTTCTACTGGAAAAATTGCTAGCTGGATACTTGGTCAGCCAAGGTGTCCATCGGCTTCTTGTATCTCTCGTTGCACCAATCATCCGTCTGTGTAAATCACGATTGCGATACATGATTGCAAACTCTAGACCGCGCGAACCTTGCTGCCAGGCTGTGTGCTGAAGGTTTCATCGAAATACGTTCCGACATGAGTCATGCGAGCAGTGAGAATTGTTGTGCTCAAACACCATACTAAGTAAGTGATCAAACAAATCAAAATCCCCTACGGCACGCCTCAACTCGTTCAGATTCCTGGAGACTTGAAGGGGTCTCTGTTGGTCCTCAAGCAAGCAAGCCAAGCAAGCAAGGCATGTGTCCAAAATCACAGAATTCTGTGCACTTCCATGTTGGCAGGAAGGTATATTGGTGTTGTCTCCCGCATGCACCGGACGCTCACGCTCTCACGTCCAGTAGCTGAAGGTGAGCACCGATGCCCAAACAGTCTGAAAGGCCCGCGGGCAGCGCTCGCAGTCGTGGTAAATCCTCAGCACTGGGCGTGTTTGGGTGAAGGTGTGAACACCCTCTCTCTCCTCTCCTCTTTTTCTGGAAGGATTTCAAAAACACCCAGACTTTGAGCCCAACAATGCTAGCCTCGGAGAAGGTCTAAATATGGACCTGCCGGGGAAAAGCATGCTTCTCAGCCATTGTTCAATACATCTGGGCTGTTGAAGTCATTCCCAACACCCGGAAGGTCATTCCCTATCGCACCAGCAAGCAAGGGAAAGCCCTCGGAAGGAAAAAGGATGACAGTGAGCTGGGAATCCCAGTCAGCGCAATCTCCTGGTTCAGTGGATGAATCATCTCCTTGGCAAACAGGGCGGCAGCGGGGCATGTGTCGAAACATGGGAGCCGCAAACATGGTGGTGCTTCCTTTTGGTGCCCCTTTCGACCGGAAAAGGGTACCCTCAAAAAAAGACACCCCCAAAGGAAAACAAGTCATTGTGGAGCAGACTTGCTCACCCCAGAATCAGGAACCTCCTCTTCCTTGCTCTAATGTTGCGCCGGGAAGGTAATTGGATCGAATTTCCTCTATGCGCCCCAGGCGCAACGGCTGGGGTTAGCTTCAATGCGCAAGTGGCCCTTTTGAGCCGAATCTAAAAGTGCCCTCCCAGAAAACATGGAACTTGAAGGGTTTCTGGTAAACAGGTGCCCTTCAGGCTCCATGTTTCTTGCGGAGGGCAAACTAAACCAAAGGTAATCAATGGCTACGGACCGCATTGGAGACCGTACACCAGACGTGCTGTCGCTCGTGCAGTTTCCTTGTTCACCTGTGTCTTGCGAGGTATTGCCCTTCTTAATGCCTGTCACCTCCGATTTCTCGTAATACAGCCCTTGCCACATCAAAATGGTTGTGAGTTTGAGGGCATCCGTCTTGCCGGGTGGTTGTAAAGAGGATGACCACACTTGGGGTCCGGATCCCTATTTCGCAGATCGGGAACATGGTTTATGTCTCAAAATAGGGCAACGCCTTAAACCCAGTTCTCTCCATTTGGTTCCCCTTCAAAAGCAGCCCAGCGCGGCTCCCTCGAAAAAGACACGCCCGCTGGTATCACCGAGCGGCTACAGCCACAATGCCCCAAATCAGCAGCATGAGCAGCAGCAGGACTGCCGCCCATGCGATGGCCTCCCAAAGGATGCTTCAAAGCCAGGAAGCCGGGGCCTGTCAATGTTTTTTGCTTTTTGTGTCTTCCATGAGTTTTTCTTTTTTTGTCTGTAAGTGTTCAGGGCGCTTAGTCTTTGATGCGCTCTTTTCGATGTATGTTAGTGTGTTTGCTGTTGATCTGTGTCTTTTCACAGTGCGTGAAAGGTTTTGCTGCTGTCAGTGTTGTGCTTGTCGATTTCATGTCGACAGAACTGTTGGTATGTCTCTTTGGTACGGGGAGGACATGAGGGGACCATCTGCACGCACGCTTCACATTGGCTTGAGCAGTCTCCTAAACCTGCCCAACGCTAAACTGCAAACGTCCATGCCTACTCTGTACGGCCGCCCAACAAGCGAATGCAAAAAACGATCTAACTCGCTCCGACTTAGTAACTCAACTCAGTACCAACTACCTACATTTTGCACAGAGAGCGCTTCAAACCATGGATGCTGACTGCTTCGATACTCTTTTGCTTTGCTTCGCCTGCTTTACTTGTACAGGTATAGCGCTCTATTGAAGACGTGTTTGTGCTGATTTATCTTCTCATGTTGGTTTTCAACCCCCCACTTAGATAATTACAGTGAACAGCTTTCCTTAAGCAAGACGCGAGCTGGGCAGATCCGCCCCACATTGCCGCCCGGGAGCAAATCAAAGCGAGTCCTCCTTTGCTTCAACAAATCAAAAGTCCTGACACGGGAAGCATGGCCAAGCCGTGCGGTTCGCGTCCCGTGACCCCGCTGGATCTGTTCAAAAGAAAAGGTCCCTCCAGCCATCTCCAGACATTCTCTCCGGCCTTCAGCGCCGAGAAGAAGCCGTAGAGCATGATGTAAAGCTCTCGGAAGAGGTGCAAAGTGCGGATGGTCCGCAGCACTCGCAAGGCCCTGCGAGGCCAGAATCTCGCCGCGCTGATGGACGATGCTGCACCAAACGCATGAAACCCTGTGACTACCGGATCCTTAAACTGTGTACTAATTGGTGCAGGAGCAGGGAACACTATGGTGGATGTGTGTGTGTGTGCGCCTTGTGCGTTGTGGTCTGGGGTAACCTCTTTTTGGTTGGTGTTCAAGGAAGCCAAAAGGAAACCAAGCATTTTGTGAGGTCCAAAAACAACATACCCCGTTTACGAAGTGGACATCAGACATACTAAGCCGACGCGCTCGATGGTGTCCACAGGGGCGTGCGCGATGTCGCGTTGCTGTGCTACCCATATATATCTATGTAGGCAGGATTCAGGATTCACCTCGAGTCCTTTGCCACCCCTCCAAAGCCTCGCTGGCTAGTGATCCTGGTACAAGGGAACCCTTGTAAGGTTAAGCAGTTGTGCAAGGAACTTACCAAAATAACACAAATTGGTCCAACTAGAGCACAAATTCTCTAGATCCTTGAACTCGTACGTCTTCTGGCACGGGGCTGTTTGAAGGAAGCCAAAGGGCCACCGCCTATTTCAGGGGTTCTCTCATCTAGAGACACACTCACATTGACATGTACCTTCAGAGTGGGCACGACAAAATGACTGTGTTGGAGATCCAAAAATAATAGCAGCAAGTTGATGTGTCATGTCTAAAATGCTACAACAGGCCAAAAAGCAAACTGTTGTTGGTGTTCGTTGACAAAGGGACATTGATACCTTGCAACCGGGTAACAGGAATGGTGAGAGAGCAAAATCCCGCGTGGCCCCAAGCGCTGACTTCAGAGAGCAGAGAGCTGGAAAGCGCTCTAAATAGGCAGCAACTCAGGTCCTCGACGATGAGCTACAGCGGCACTCGGCATCTCCAGCCCTTGCTAGTTTACCTTTGGAGTCTCTCTAAACCAAACAAAGAGAGGGCACAAAGTCTCAACAGCAACCGCGACCCTGTTGAATAGCAAGTAAAGATGTCATGAGACAAATAACCCAAACCCCTCAAACATGCAACCAGCAACGAGGGAGCATCTTCTCTCCCAAAAGAAATGTCTGAGCCGTCTCGCTCTGCATCTGGAGGCGTTCCGGCAGGCGCCATGGTGGGTCCATTTCAAACATGTCTGAACCACTGTTTATAAAGCCACATTTCTTCGGAGACCACTTGGACCAAGAGGGGAACTGTCCTTTTGGCACGCCTTCAGAACCGCAAGCTTCGATCCCGCGCCTCACCACCCGCAAGGTCCGCAGCAGCGCGGCCCGGGGGACCTCCGCGTCCAGGGCGAAGGCCAAGATCTGCAGGAACCAATCCGAGATCAGCACAAAGAAGTCCTATGGCGAGGGCTCCATTTTGGGTCCCGGCCAGAACGCTTCTCAGTTTATTTTGGGTTGTGAGACACGCACACCCACCAAACAAAAGACACAAACACATCCACACACTCACCCTCCAAACATGTTCAAGGGGTTCCTTTCGGATCCGAAGAACGTATTGTCCTGTGTTGCAAGCTAGAATCCGTTTAACGAGCCCCCTGAGTTGGCTTCGTGTTTTGACGTTTGTTTTTTCAAGGACAAGCAATGAGATGGCGTGTGTTGCCGTGATTCGTGAGATTGCAGTCTTCTGAATTTACGCACGTGAGATGTTTGGGGTGTTTCGAACGTTTGAATGGCTTGCTGGCGCACTTCTTGCTTTTGTGTTTATTTCCTGTGTGCTTTTCCTGTAGGGGAAACTGGGTGTGGGTGCTTTTTTGAAAATTAGAGATGGCGACGTATTGAGGCGCCCTGTGGTTGTGGCCTTTGGATGCCCAACCTCTATGAACCAGAACATCACCCGACAAAAACAAACTCGATTCAGAACAAGGAGGAACCCGGAACCCAGTAGAAAACTCCTTCAGTTGTCCCGAGGCCTTCCAACCTTGCACTTGTTTCAGTACCCAGCCAAACTGACACCGAAGGTTCCAACATATTGCAGTAAGCCAAGGTCAATACTTGCCGCCATCCACTGCAGTAAAGGGGGATGACATGGGTCACACTCACCTAACCACCATTAGGAAATAGGTTTTCTCACCAAACAAAAATGTTATAAATATAGAGCGTGGCTCATGCATCAGTCTGCATTACTCCTACCTGGATGCATGCAAATTACAAGCCAAGCCGCTGGGCCTTTCTTGCTGGTTTGACAGGTAGCGAAGGAGCTGGAACGACCCCGAACTGAACCCATCCAACTGGTGGTTTCCTACCAAAATTCCATTCCGGTTCATTCCCAAAACCCTTAAATTCCTTCATGGCAACTCTAAAAAATTGCCCGTCCTAAGAGAACCACCAAGCTTCAGGGTCCTCGGAAACCACAAAACACCAAGCCGACTTGCATCCCACATGTTCTCACATGGATGTTGGCTTGTGTCTGGACCATGGTGGATTCCTGAGCCCCTGATCTTGGGCCTTCCATTGCGCAAAGCCAGGTAGCTAAGAGGTTCCAGGCCGAGCAAAAGTAGGCCTTCCTGAAGGCGTAGAGCCGCAAGCAGGCCTGGGCTTGGTTGCCATACCTGTAAGTTGTATTTTTAACTCCTGATTGGACAACAAACACCTGTTTGAACAACCTCCTGATGGTTCCTGTTAGGATGCTGCGCATGGAGCAAATCCGATTCTGGCCGCTTCTGGACGAATCCGGATATGAATACTGGGAAACCCCACCAATCCCAACTGGAGCCTGGCGGTGGATTTTGTCCTTTATGTCCGGCTTGTCTTGCCGGCCTCCAGCGTATAGACCACCAGCATGCCGAAGTTCGCCCAGGTCACGATGGGCTCTGAGTCTAGGCCCAGGCCATGGCGGTTGGTTTGGTGCACCAGCATCCCGATGTTGATGAGCACCAAAACCCCGATGACGATGTCGAAGTAGGGGTTGGTGACCTCAGACAAACCGAAGCCATGCTAGAAAGACATTAAACAGCCTGTTAAACCAAGACCTCCCGGCATGCACATCAATGTTCAAACATCAAAGCACGACCCGAGCTAAATGGGGATTTCAAGGGAGTTCCCACCCCCAAGTCATTTTGCGAAGCCAAGGACCCTGTCAGAAAAGAGGTCATTTCATCCCCCGAAACGTGGGGATAGTAGGCCCAAACTTGTTGCACCACCTTTGTTTGGCGACTGGCATTTGATTTCACGAGATTGACTGAACATGAGTTCTATGGATTCAGGGATCCCCCAAGCTTGGTAAGGGACTCCCCCCCAATTTAGAACATCCCCATATGTTAACTCAACTTTGGTGCTTCTGCTTCGTACCTGGTGTCATTATACTCCGCATTGCCTGCAAGGGCAATGGTTCGAAGATCCACTCCTTTTGCAAGTTGTGTTTGACACAATACGTGACGCCAGCTCCCTCCAGTGCATTGATTGGGGCAAACCTCGCTTCTAGCCCTGGGTCCGCGGGGAAGGTCGGGATTGACACCTGGATGATGTTCATAGGAAACTTGGCCACTCGCCAAGGAAGGGCCTGGAACAGTGTCAATGACTGTCCTCCCCTCATGGTAAATGCTTGATGATTGGACGCTGCAACAGCAGCGTAGGGGAAACTTGTTGTGCCAAAAGATTCGATGGGGGTCAAACCAATGCTTGCAGTCTGCTGTGAGTCATGCATATGTCCCAACAGCATATGTGCTGAGTCTGCTCGCATAATCCAATAGACCGACCTCACCCTGAAAGCGACCAGACTTGGCCACATCCAATCCACTTTTCAGAGTCTGGGGCGTGGGTGTGTTTTGAGGCTCGATACCCTTTCCGGGTTTTTCAAGGAAAACCAAAAGGATTCCCAAAGCCCGTTTTGGGGGTCGCCCCCCGATTTTGGTGGGAAGTGCACTTTCCAAGTCATCGAGTTGGTCCAGAGTCGGGGAGTCCGGGCTCCCGATAGTTCACCACCCCACCAAACGGAAACTCATGTTGAATTGGCCGCACTGGCCCAAAACGTGGCAGAAATACGTCAAAACTAGGGTGAAAACGGGACCCTGGTGCTGGTTTGTGCCACTTTTTAAAGAGGCCAAGAAGAGACCTACTCTTGACAACCCCCCCCCCCCAGTGCTTACGTCGAGCGCAAGGGGAACTGTGGAAAAGCCGAGTCTGGGTCCCTGGCCACCCGTGCCACTCTCTTCCGCAACTCGGACCACTCCAAGGGGAAGACCAGCTGCGTCTCTCGGGGGTCGATGGTGGACCATTGGCTCACCTTGCCTCACCGAGCAAGTCCTACTTGATTAGAAAAGTTCAAACTGATTGGCCCCAGTCAAAAATGATGAACAAACCAGTTAAACGTTGGGAACCTCAACACGCAAGAAACCTGGCCGGAGGTTTTGTTTGTTGGCATGGCTGGCTGCGGACATCTGACGTCTTTTTAGCCTTCTATGAGCTATGGCCCACGTTTCTATTTGGTGGCTGTCCTTTGCAAGGCGAGAACCTGTAGGAAACAACGATCATTTTGGCCGGGGGGGTTTCTCAAAATACTGGACCGCCTCTTAAAGGGATGTCAAGAGCAACACCGATGCCATTTTTGGGTTCCAAACATCACCATAGTTTTCTTGTCAAGCAATCCGTGGACAAAATTTCATCCAGCTTGGAGAACTTCCGAGGACGCAGTGGACTCCTGGCCACCCAAGCCCAGCTAAGGACCTGCCACATGGATCTCTAAGAAACATGGTGACAATCCATGTCCCTTCTTTCCAATTCTCATGGAAGTGGACGGTTGGAGCCTTTTGCAGAGGACGGTAGTCTTATGCAAAACCCACCGTTAAGATGCGGCTCGTAAACCGAAGAAAATCCACACAGAGCAGAACAGGTGAAATCTGGCTTGTGACATACCATTTGGATATAAACCACTTGGGGACTTGGGGGACCAAGTGCATGAAAAGTGATTATAACATGTTTTTAGGCAAACCGCAAAACATTCTCCCAACGGTTTCTGGACTTCTGGCCGGGTGGCGGTCGACGTTGTCTGAGCGATTGCTCTTGCGTCTGCCCACTGGAACACCTGGCAGCTTGGCGAGCCAAGCTGACGTGAGCCATGGTCTTATTTGGAAGCCTTTTTTAATTGTATTTTCATGGGGTTGGCGGGCATTTGTATCGTAGCCTCGGCGGGCACAAAAATGACCTGTTTTACAGTGCTGGGTAGTTTAGAGTTGGTTTGAGAGCGGGTCTAGGGTTGGTTTTGGGTAAAGGGTTGGAAAAGGTGTGCTTCGAGTTTGTTTCGAGCTAGTTTGGCGTGAGTTTGGCTTTGGGTGGCTGTGGGTTTAGGCTTGGTATGGGGTTTGCTGGGGGTCTGTTTCAAGTTGATTTAATGTGGTGTGGGCTTAGTCGCGCGGTTCAGGGATGGTTTAATGCTGATTAAGGGTGGGTGTATGGTTTAGGGTGGGGATTCTTTAGGGTAGCTTTACTGTCGGTTCAAGTTTAATTGGTCTTGTTGTATCTAGTGGGTTGATCATGGTTTAAGGTGGGTGTAGGGTCGAAAAAGCAACCAGAATGCACAAAAACTTACAAAAGCAAGCCAAAAAGCCAGCCTAAAGAAAAACACAAAAACAACTGACAGATGTTTCTTCTCCGCTAGCCTTGTCTGTAAAAGGGGCTAATCGAGTTCACACCCGACAGCCCCTTCCCCTTCCCTGGCGCCATTCGCGCCACACAAAGGCACTCTTGGCCATCGACCAGCCTTGTGGTCACGCTGGAACTGGTCCCAGCGCTACCTTTTTCGCGATTCCCCATTGAGGGTCGGATTCCAACTCTTGCCGCTGAGCTGGGCCATAGAGCTCGAGACTTCGGCCTTTCTCGAAGCTGCTTGGTGCTCCAGCTCAAGCCCCGAAACCTCAGCCTCGAGCACCACCCATGTCCTTCCCCGCTGATCTCGAAGCTCCAATCTCCTCACCTCCCGAGGCCCTGTTCTTGATCTGCCTCGTTCGCTTCCAGGATGTAGGACTGTCCTTCATATCCCCTTCCACGTCCATCACCTAGACCCTAGACGCAGCTCTCGTTCTTCACGCGCCGTGTCCGACTCCTCATCCAGAGGTAACTCTTCGCCGTCGGGTTCTTGGTCGCTCTCCATCTGGCCGTAGATCTCAACCCTCTGGTAATCCACCATCTTGCCATAGGTCTCAACCTTCGGGCCCCCGACCCCGACCTTCAACTTGTTGATGAGCTCGGTCATCTCCTCCGTTCGCCATCTCCGCAACTGGTCTCTCTTCACCTCGCCCCAGAACTCCTCACTGCGGCCCTGACTTCTTGGCCTTGCCCTAGCAGCAACCTTCTGCCAGGTTGCCCATTAAGTCTCTCATCACCCCCTGGACTCTCATCCTTCTCTTCTCCACGGTATCGGGCACGGTGGCAGGCGGCTAGGTCTTTTTGGCCTCAGCCTTGGCTTGTGGTGCCATCCCCGGCCTTTCCGTGTTCCGCGGCTACATGACGTCCTCCTCCGCCGGCTGGGTTGGGTCCGCCAGCTTTTTCTCTGCTAGCCTTGTCTGTAAAAGGGGCTAATCGGATTCAGCTCCAACGGGATGGGAAAAAAACTCGGCCCCCGTGTTTTAGGGGACTCACAAAATGGTGGTGTTCCTTTTGCTCTCCCTTTACCACAAACATGGGGAACCCTCAAACAAACCACTGTTTCCAAGAGGACATGGCAAATATAGTGAGTCCCTGGTTCTTGTAGGCTCATCATCCACCATGTCCCTCCCAAAGGGACCATGGGCTACTGGAATTTGTAGTCGAACCCTCACAGGGACCCCGCTTGGCTATCTGGGTCCTAGAGGGCTGGGACTGTGGGAGTGCACTGGTCGCTATCATGCAAGTCTGTAGCCGTCGTTTGCACTTGCTTTGCTGATGTTGAAATGCTAACGTTTGATTTGTGGAAAACAAAGCATTATTTTGGAAAGAACATCCTGTGTAACAGTGTATTCAACATAGAATAAGTACTATTTCAAATTCCAATGTAAATTTGATTATGAATGGTGTATCTCCTTATTGAATTCCAACTAAATGCATTTAGGACATGAGTATAACTTGATACATATATTAAGAATAAGTTCACAAGGAAGATTGGGAAGTCCATAAATGTCGCTTTATCTAGCCCACAGTGCCACCATGGTCAGAAACCACCACAAACCACAGTGCGTTGTTGCGAGTGCAGTACTAAGTTCACATCTCCACCAACTTGGCCGCCCTCTAAAGCTCAATCAGAATTGGAATAGAGTTTAAATAGGAATCATTCAGGAAATACATTATTGGGGACATTATAGAAATCCTTGCCAACCAGAGCTTTACAGTTCAACTAGAGTTTGATTATTATTATTATTTTTAAAAAAGGAAATTATATAAACAACATTTCAAAATCGATATCTTCAGTTTGGAATTTAGTAAGAATTACTCCATTCCAGATTATAATTTAGATAGGATGTTCTTGCCAACATACTTTTATTTACACATCTGTTAACATTTGAACGCAATATCATTCAAAACAAGTTCAACTTAAACTTCCATTTTAAGCTGGTTCTTAAGTAGGAATCCGTTCAAACAAAAGCAAACAAATCCATTGGATCAGCCCTGCCAAAAAAAAAGTTGAGAAAACCAAACAATCAAACAAGAAACTTTCTCCCAGAACTTTTGGCACAGTGAGTGTCTACCTCTTAAACACGCGTCTCAGGAATGTGTATGTCAAGTGTGTCTTTCTTTGTTTTCTTGCGATCTATTGCGCTTTTGGCGAATCCAGTGGAAAGACTGTCGGAGGATTGTTTTTGGTTTGTGTATTTGTATTTGTTTCAAACATGTTTTTGGCTTTCTTGAGGCTTGTTCACGCGTTTAGACACCCGAACTTCATTTGAACAACAGGAAAGACTGCAACTTGCTCATATCCCAAAGAAAAATTGGAAAACAACTGCAATTTACACTGATCCCCAAAAGCATGAACACATGCCCTCCCACAGTCCCTGTTCTGCAAACCTAGGGGTTCTCCTTTTGGGGAAATGAATGTGCTTACTTTGAGGTGGCGTCGACTCAAGCTCCCCTTGGATGTTTAGGGTGCGTGAATGTGTCTCTTCGAAATGGTGACTGTTGTTGCAAAAGAAACCGCTAAACCATGCTCCAGTAGAATCAGTTCCGGAAATCCAGACGAGGAGCCGCATAAGCATTAAAGTTTTCCTGGGAAGATCCAAAACAGAATCGAGAGACACCCATCACACATATTTATGTGCAGGGTTGCGCCAACCCAAACATGATCAAACTCTTGTTCAAACAACCAACCTTTTGGCTTTGCACGGACTTAGTCTGCCCGCCCAGCCCCGCCGGCGCAGGGCCTGGCATCCGCTCCTCATCGCTCTCCGCCTCAGGCTCTCTGATCATGGCCGCTCGCAGCGCGCGGCTCGCGGCAGCTCGCCGTCGAGCCGGAACCGGCTGAGTCGACGATTTGTCGAGGGGTGTTTTGCCGAAGACACAACCTGGGCCGCAAGGGACCTGGTTCGCTGTTCTTTTTCAAAGACCTTCATACATGGGCCATCTTCTTTTGGGAAAAGGAAGGGGGGGGGGGAAGAAATTCCAGAAGTTGTTATCAGATGCAAACAATCCTTGCGCATCGAGAGATGGGCAGCTACCTAGTACCTCACTGGGGTCACATGAGTCAATGAGCCAGTCATTTTGGTGAGCCCCCAATACCATCTCCTTTACTGCAGTTGGGGTTCCAATATTGACTGTTGCTCGACATGGAAAGGCCGAGTGCTGGCTGCGAGCTTTGAGCCAATCAGTTCGCGACCGAGGGAAAGAGCGAGCTGGGGGAAGGGTGGGTAGTGATTCCAACCTACCCAAAATGCACGGTCTTCCAACAAAGAACAAACAAACAAACAAACAAACAAACAAACAAACACAAACCGACCGACCGACCGACCGACCGACCCGACCGACCGACCGACCGACCCGACCGACCAGCCAACAAAGAAAGAAAGAAAGAAAGAAAGAAAGAAAGAAAGAAAGAAAGAGAGGCACACACACAAACAAGCAAACAAACAGCGCACAAACAAAGCAAAACGAAACAAAACAGAAGACCGGAACTAAACAAGACACAAACCAAACCAAACAAAACAAAGAACCAAACAAAACAAAGCACCAAACCGAAACATCTGCTTTTGAAAGTGGCTCCTGAATGTTGGTCACGGAGGTCCCGCACTGGTATCATTGTGTTGTCATGGTGTCTCCTGGAACCCGGGCTTTGCCTGTTTGCCATCATTTCTGGTTTCACCTGTCCCAAAACCGTAGAGCCGGGAATTTGCACCGAGGCACGTAATTTCAGGTCACTACTCACAAATGCCTCTCTTATGGGTGTATTTGTATATCGAAGGCTATTCCTGAAAAAGAAGCAATTGTATCATTTCTAAACCTACACCTATCCAGCACCTATCCACCACAACAGCAAGTTCTTCTATCAACACCCAACCACGCCCAGCTTATTCGCTCGAATCTGCAATGAACCGTGGGGAATCGCGCTTGAGCCTCAACTTACAGTATCCCTAACATCGCTGCAGCATATCACCGCCTGAAAAACCAACCCAGACCTTCAACCCCGTCTGACATCGCCTTCCGGGGACAGCCGCAGCTTGGCTGCTCGCCTGGGGCGAGCGTGCGTTTTGGTATCTGGGTTTGTGTCAAAATAGGAACCTGTTAAATTGTTGGTTTCATGCGTTTTACTTTTGGTTTCCCGTTTAAAATAACCCAGAAGGGAGGGGCGTGAAAAAACACACGCCCATACCCTCGAAATTACGACTCTAAAGGCGGTTGACCAAAGCGTGCAAGGCCCTCAAGAAAAAACAGTAGTCACACTCTGAAGTATTTAGAGATTTTAAGGCCTTTGGATAACCCTCTACTGTAAATTGCGGTTCTTTGAAATGCAACTACTTTACTGGAGAAACAGATTAGAGGGCTGCTCAAAAGAAAGGGTCCCGATTTGGGACCTCGGTGCCCCTCGAATCCTCTTTAAATCGGTGATCACAAACGGGTCCAACAAGACCTCCCTTGAACAAGCCTTGATGGCTCACAGTGCGTCTTTACGACCCAAATGTAGCCATAGGCCGTTGAATAGCAACTGGCCTCTATCTCAGGGAATCTATTCATCTCAGATCAGGGGCTTGGGGAATGAACCATATCCTAAACAAAACCACAGTGTATTCCCTCCAGCCCCTAGCTGAGGGAGTGCGTCCAAGTGATATCTTGCGGAAACGAACCTCTGGGTGTCTACTCTGACACATCTCATGGTTGTGAACAAAAATATCAGTGATGCCAGTATGGATCATTCCCGCGAGTACTCTATGACTTGAACCCTCCAAATTGGTCCCAAGACAAAGCTTGCCACAACGTGGTGTCTGCCTCTTCCCGCGTTGACTCAGCATATTTAGTCTTCAAAGGCATTCTGTTGCAAACACAGCACTTTCAATGACAACTGCATACTATGATGGCTTGCTGATATTTAAAAACAAACAAAACGAAGGCAAACTGGTACAATTGTGCAACTCCAACAGCCCTTGCACTAGCAGCATGTACTGGCTCCGAGTTGGACTTTGAATTGAGCCAGGGGACTCATCGATAATGTTTGCACAAAGGCATGAATCTACTGTCAAGGCGGCCGAGCAGGGTCAGATTGTCTCCCTGAAATCTGGTCAAGCAAACAAGGACACCTGCTTCTTTCCAGCAGGTTAGACCCCTTAAAACTACAAACACCGGAATGGAAGCTGCGGACTTTTGTGCGGAGGCCGTTTCAAGCTTCCATGAAATGGAAGCATCCCCCCCACGTAGGCTGCTGTGAAAGCCACCAAGGTTAAGTACCCGCTGAAAAGGAATGCCAATCAGCACCTGAGGGTGGAATCCAAAGTGTGGCCTCTTGCCGCAAAGCAAAAGATGTGAGCTGCGGTGGCCCCAATGACATTGGATTTTGGTGTCCATGTATTTGGAGAAACACCTGCATGGTTTCCCCATACGAGTGCGAAACCTGCCGGAGGTCTTAGGCGCCGCACACGGCTCGATTGGCCTTCCAAGTTTTGGGGGAATCGTCCAACCACCACAACAGCATACGCGGTTGGCACTTGGATACCATGCCAATCTCCGGTTTCCCTTTGAAGTTTGGACATCTAGTTGCTTAACACTTTTTGCCCAGTGGATACACCCCTGAAAGGGCATAGGGAAACAATTCGCATCCAATTTGCACGCATGGGGCAAAGGCATAAGCCAACCAACGCGTGGCACAGGTTTTGACAAAATTTCATGAACAGGGTCCGCCGACTCCTCCAGACGAATCAAATGGATACACGGGAAGCCCTCCAGGAATTTGTGGGAACGGGCAAACACAACATCTCAAATGATTTTTCCTCTCGCAAGCAATGCTTGTCCAAACCCCAACTGTTCTAATGCGAGTCGCAATGACATCCTGGTACTAAAGGGGTCGGCTGGGACCGCCCCTTAAATTCACTTCCTCGGGGGGTTATTGTGACTCATGTGTCAAGATCGAAAATAGACCAAGCATGGGATTTGGCTTTCCTTTTGGTTGCTCTTCAAAACAACTTGGAAATCAGTTCCCCCCCAATTGGTGGTCTGGATTAGTTGGCTTTTTACATTGAGCCCCCTCCAGCCTCTGCCAGAGAACACCTCTGTGGGCTCAGGAAAGGCTCCCTGTACCTTGGAGAGCCAGAGGAAAAAGCAAACGGTTCTTTGGTGGCCCGCTCAATGGTTTTAGCAACTGGGCTCCTTTCGGATGCTACACACCTAGGAGTTTTTTGGCGCAAGCGATCGGAATCGTTCATTAAAACCCATTTAGGGCCGCCCGATCATCACAAGCAAACAAAATAGGTGGGGAAAAGGAATGCAAAAGGACCCCTTTTACCACTCCCTACAGTTCTGGTTTGGTCATTGTTTTGGAACGGTTCGGAGCAACCCTGGGTCAGAGCTCGGAAAACGGAGAGAGAAGTTCATGCTTAGCCTGAACAGTCTGGGCCGGTTATCCTTGTTCTTGGGTTTGAGATGTGTTGAGATTTGTGCTCGACGGTGCATGACTTAAACAACACATGCGGTTTTTCCTACACCTCTGCAGATTTACACGGAACACAAGAGGCATCGTGTTTAGAGGAAACCCCGTCTTTTGAAAGGTCCCCTATTAATCAACAGAAATAGTCTGGAATTGCAGAAACATGGGTGATCATCATCGGCCGAAAGGCTCTCCGCCTCTCGAGGGTATCATCCCGAGACAAGGTCACCATATGTCATGTCACAAACAAATATACCTGCAAAATTGACACACCGGTTTGATTTATTGCTTTTTAGTTGTCCTTGATGTAGGGAATGTGTCTGTCTGTCTCTATCTGTCTGTCTGTCTGTCTCCATCTGTCTGTCTGTCTGTCTCTGTTGCTGTCTGTCTCTGTCGCTGTCTGTCTCTGGTCCGTCGCTGTCTCTGTCTGTCTCTGTCTCTGTCCGTCTCTATCGCTGTCGCAGTCTGTCTCAGCCTGTGTCTCTGCCTCTGTCTCTGTCTCGGTCTCTGTCTGTCTGTCTGTCTCTGTCGCTTTCTGCATCTGTATCTGTCTCTGTCTCTATCTCAGTCCCTTTTCGCAAAGTCACCTTCTCTGTGACTGGCACCCTAAGGTGTGGCTTTTATGTCTGCACACATTGCCCTTATCAGTTGTGTCACCCACAAAGGTCCAACAGTTCCACTCTGTTAACTTTGGATGAATCCGGAGCCCGTGCTAATCAGGGTGGTACGGCTTTGAGTGCTAGAAGGGCCAGCCGGATTAATCCGAAGTCAACATGATCATTGATCACCAATTGTGTGTGTGCTTGTTTTTCAATCATACCCCTGTTTGCACCATCATTTCGGGGGTCCCCCTATGCTGACACATACCCAAATTTTGCAGCGCGTCACGGCTTTGCTGAGTGCTTTTGGTCAAAGTCCCCATCAAGTGCTTAGCAACCGCACCCAGAATTTAACCTTAAACTCAATGGGACAGAAAAGGGGATTGTGAAACCAAAACGGGTACCTTTCGAATGCTGGCAACAGTTGCCCACACCTCCAATGGCCACGGAGAAAAAACATATTTTGTTTGGTGGTTGGTTTCGAAGGGGCCTCAGAAAAACAACACCTCCCGCTGGAAGTATGGCGAGACAGGCCTTTCGGCACACCTCCTGCCCGCCCATTTCCGTTCAGGCCGTCGCTGCAAGCCGCTGACCTCGATTCTGGGTGCCATTTCAAAATCTCCCAAGTGGACCCCTCACATCCAAGACTGAAACAAACACGTGCGGTAAAGATCAGAGGAAGTTTAGCGTTCATTTCGCTCACGCAACCTTTTGGGGGTTGAACTCGTGTTGCTGCTGCTGCTGCTGCTGCTGCTGCTGCTGCTGCTGCTGCTGCTGCTGCTGCTGCTGCTGCTGCTGGTGAAGGTGTTGGTGCTGCCGGCCGTGGCTGTTGTTGCTGT